CTCCTAGTTGAGTTTTGTATCTCACAATTTCATTTTTCTCATTACATTTGCGTACAAATACCCATTTGTATCCAATAGGCTCAACACCCTCAGGTGTTCGGACGACTGGTCCAAATACTTCTCGTTTAGCTAATGAATTTCACTCTGCCTGTATTACTTCTTTCCATTTCGGCCAATCATTTTTTCATCGACATTCTTTGACGTTTCGAGGTTTTGGATCCTCATTTTCAATATCAAGAACAATATTATAAGAATATGTTGTTAACTACAATTTCATTTCTATTCCATCTTATTTCATAATTTAGTAAGATCTCATTATTTTCAGGTGTCATAGCCTTATCAAGTGCATGTAACTCATCAAGGACCACATTATCATCATTTACTGTCTTTGCCTTATTAAGGCTTATCATTTCATCAGTTTTAAGTACCTGGGCCTCATTAAGGGTTATAATTCCAGATTTATCAATAATTTCTATTACTCTTTTTGTGGCCTCTTCAAGAGCACCAACTTTTCTTTGTGTTTTTCTCTTGCGAGGAATAACATCTTTTGCACCAACTGATCTTCCACGTTTCAGGTGTATTCTAGATGCATTTGCTGCAATATCGACAGATTGTCCCACAGGGACATCAATTTTTGCTGGAACATTTGCAGTTGGTACATGTGATTTTATTACCTTCTTTATATCAGTAAATGCATCAGGTAATTGATTTGTAATATTTTGCAAATGAATAATCATCTGAACTTTTTTTTCACATTAATTTGTGTGAGAATCAAAATGAGATAATATTAAGGCATTCCAAGTGATCTCATTATACCTTTCAGAAATTTTCTTTTCTCCCTCTAATGGTGGGAAAACAGCTTCATCAAAATGACAGTCTGCAAATCGTGTTTTAAATATATTACCTGTCAGGGGCTCAAGATATCTAATGATAGAAAAAGAATCAAAACCAATATATATTCCAAGTCTACGTTGAAAACCCATTTTAGTACGTTGTGGTGATGCAATAGGAAAATATACGGCATAACCAAAAACTCGTATGTAAGAGATATTTGGCTGTTGTCCAAACACAAGTTGTAATAGTGAAAATTTATGATAAGCAGTTGGTCGTGTGCGAACTAATAATGCAGCATGTAATATGGCATGTCCCCAAGCAGAAACAGGTAATTTTGTATGCATAAGTAAAGGTCGACCAATTAACTGAAGTCTTTTAATAAAAGATTATACCTAACCATTTTGAGTATGAGTGTGTGCAACAGTAGAGTGTTCAACACTAATTCCAACTGACATGCAATAGTCATCAAAAACTTGAGAAGAAAATTCAGCAACATTATCAAGTCGGATTGTCTTAATTGGATAATCAGGAAAGTGTGCCCGCAATTTGATAATTTGAGTAAGTCTAGCAAATGCAACATTACAAGTAGAAAGCAAATAAACATATGACCATCTTGTTGAGGCATCAATTAAAACTATAAAATAATGAAATGGTCCGCAAGGTGGATGAATTGACCCACATATATCCCCATGAATTCGTTGTAAAAAGGTAGGGGATTCAACAATGACTTTTGAAGGCATCGTCTAATAATCAACTTGCCTTGTGAGCAGGCGGTAAATAGATGATTATTTGGTAACAGGATTTTTTGATCCTTTAGTAGGTGACCATATGAATTTTCAATAATTCAACGCATCATTGTAGTCCCTGGGTGACAAAGTCGATCATGCCAAAGTATAAAAAGTTTTGGGTCACAAGATTTTTTGTATGTCACAGCATTTGACTCAACTGTCCTGATGGTTGTATAGTATAACCCAGAAGAGAAAATAGGAAGTTTTTCAAGTACATGTTTTTTAGAAATAATGCAGAGATATTTCACATTTCCTTCATTCGCGGTCTCAATATGATACCCATTTTGACGTAAGTCTTTAAAGCTCAGCAAATTTTTTCGAGATCTAGTAGAGTATAAGGCCTTATCAATATGTATTATTATCCCATGTAGTAAAATAATATAAAATTTTCCAAAGCCTTCAATCAAACTCGTGGGACTTGAAATTGTGTTAACACTAGCCTTAGTTAATATTAAATGGGAAAAATATTTTTTATCTCGAAGAATTATGTGTGTTGTTCCACTATCTGCAAGGCATATATTATCGCCATTAACCAATGCATTTGATAGATCCATGCCTATATATTATACGCAAAATTCATATTTAAACTTTATGACAATAGAAACTTTAATACAAGGATAGTAAAATATACTTTTAATTCAAATGCAAGTAAAGAAATTTCAGTACAAGCATATCAATAAAATAAACAATAACAAAAATAACAACAAAATACAGACTACTGATGACATGATAAAAGAAAGTAGAGTTTAATTGGTGTGGACATTTTTATCACCAATCAAGTAGTCAATTTTTCGATCACTATCCTCAAAAAAATTTGACATGTCCAGATTTGTGATATCCACTGGCTCATTGAAATCAGTAAAATTCATTTATATCTTTTTCCCCTTTTCCTTTTGTGAGGCTTGATACAGATCAGCCAAGTGTTTAGGCGTACGACAGATACTTTACCAATGCCCTATCATTCCACACCAATAACAAATATTTGCATTTGTCTTTGAAGTTTGTGCTATATTTTTTCCCTTTTCATTATAATCCCTTTTTCTGGGAATATGGTGTGAACCTCTGATTATTAGAATTTGAGGATTGATAACCTTAACGATAATAAGAATGATTTCTTCCACCACCCTATTTGCCATTATAACCATTTCGATTACCAGGACCATATTCATTGTAATTTCGACTACCACGACCATAATCATTACCACACCCACGTCCTCGTCCACGAAGCGAGGCAACGTATGTTTCATGGATCGGTGTCGATTCAGTTAGACAGGACTGATGATTTCTTAACAAAAGCTCGTTATTTTGCTTAACCACAAGTAAATATGATATTAGCTCTGAATATTTTTTAAATCTACGCTCTCGATATTGTTGTTGTAAAAGCACACTTGAGATGTGAAATGTGGTGTATGTTTTTTCCAATAGGAGCTCATCAGTGACAGTATTACCATATAATTTTAGTGTAAAGCTGATTTTAAATAGAGTTGAATTGTATTCAGCCACAGTTTTGAAGTTCTGCAACCTCAGCTCCTGCCAATCGACTCGAGCTTTTGGGAGTATGATAGTTTTCTGATGATCGTATCTTTCTTTCAAAAAAATTCACAAATTCAGTGGATCTCTTTCAGTGAGGTATTTGGTTTTTAGTTCCTCATTAATATAGCGACGAAAGAAAATCATTGTCTTTGCCTTATCTTGTGACGATGTATCATTTTTTTTTTTTTTTTTTTTTTTTTTTTTTGTTGAATTGTGATTCCAAGACCCATAGCATCTAAATGGATCTGAGCATCCAGAATCGAAGATAAATAATTTTTGCCAGAAATGTTAAGAGTCACGAATTCCAACTTTGTCAAGTTTGATATTTTCAGAATAACTAAATGTAATATAAGAACACAATTTTAGCAAAATGTAAAAACAAGCGTATATCATAATAATAAAATTGCATTAAGTAAAATAATAGGAACTATTATAATTTAAGCAATAAAGGCAGTGAAACAAGCCATTAAATCATTAATTGATAAAGGTGGTTAAACCGATCATTAAATAATAAAGGTGAAAATAAATAAAATTTTCTTGAAAGATACCTTGCTACTTATTATATGAGTTGCTTTGTATTGTGTGCCAGCATCAAATGTGAATTACCACTTGCATACATATGTGGGCCACATGTTATAACAATATATATATTTACATTGGTTTCCTCTTTTTATTCAAAAATACATTGACTCAATGAGTCATCAACTTCATCCCTTGATACACCTCACCGAGGCCCAAGATAATAAAAAATAATGTGAAAGCAATCAAAATGGTATTTCTCTCTACAAGTTAGGTCGAGAGTCGACTCGACGAGTCCTAAAACTTCATCCACCAAACCGAGAACTTCATCGGATTCCAAGTAATTCTAAATCATACTTCCAACTCAGGTTTTCAAGTTTTCAATTTTCTGCTCGAGGTATACTGATGACGTAGTAAGTGTCACGTAACTTTGACCGTTTGACTTGTGGGCCATTGTTGTTATTGTAGAATTTTTAAGTAATTTTTGTACCATGTATAATATTGAGCATTACTCAGTAGCCTAGTTGGTAGTGGGGATGGCAACGAGACGAGTTTGGAACGGTTTTGTCTAAACTCGTGCCCGCCCCGTTTATTTATTGACAACTCCAGACCCGCCTCGTACCCGCAATGGCTTGAATTTTCATAATCTATCTCCACCCCGTTGGGAAATGATTTTACCCGTGCCTATCCCGTCCTGTTCTGTTTAGGATTTTATTTATTTATTTTTATTATTTTGGATTTTTTTTTTTTTTTTTGAAAATGTTAAGCAATTTATAAATATGAAATAGTTACATAGGTTTCAACCGGAGCTTGAAAACAACAGGCACAAAAAGAACATTAAAAATAAAGGCCAAATGGCCAAGTGCAAGGAAGTCCGTCCTTGCCATTAGGAAGTTAGTGTTTAGGTTAACCCAAGTTATAAGACACAAATACACACACACATATATATAATATATTTTTAAAAAGCAAAAATATATAAGGCAGGGCAAGAGTTCATCAAAATCCAATCTTGCCTCGTGACCCACGAAGAGTTTCTGTTTTGTACCTATACCAGCCCCTACGATATAAGAAGGGTTCCCATACCCATGATTAACGGAGCCAAGCTACGGCGGGACGGTACAAATTGCCATCTCTAATTGGTCCAAACATTGAGTCCCCATCCATCTAATTTGTCAGGATAAATAATGTGTAATAATAATAATTTAAAAAATTAAAGATGAGCATAAAAAAAAAATTCCTAACAAATCATTATGATATCAAGTATAATTTGCCAATAAAAATAATATTAAAATAAAAAGGTTTGCCCATCAAAAACGTTTTACATAAATTTTTATTTTTATTTTTATTTTTCATGAAGTCCATTTCAAATTATTGGGACAATTCCAGGTTCCCCTGTCTGTAATCTGTGCTGATAGAAAACGCCGGCCATAAGCCGATGATGCTTTGACAAACAACCCTTCAATCTGAACCCCCAGCTTCATGTCGGTAATTGGTTTGGTATTCATTCATAAACCCTAAACCCTAACCAACCTTTCTGGAAACCCAAGAATGCTATCCGCTTCGAAACGTTACAAACAGTTTCTTCAAGGTAAAACCGAGTTGCTCTCACTCAGATTCCAACAAAGTTGGTGTTCGAGTTTCAGAAATCGCAATCTTATCAGAAGACAATCAGATGTGAAACCAATGTGGAGCTTCAATTCTTCTCCTTCACTTCAAATTCATATAAATCATCGGCGAACTGTAAGTTTTAATCTATGATTTTTTTGGGGTTTTTTTGTTGGTCTTTTTTTTCTCAACTTCCATTATTGAAATTCCATGAACAAGTGTGCTTGTAATTGCTCTTCAGTTGTCATTTTTTCCTTCTGCATAGGTCTGATAAAAAACTGAAGAAGAAATAATAGATTCACATGTTCTCTATATGCCATTTCACGAACTGTTATTTATGGCTTATAATTTTGCTGTTTGTTTCATTGCGATAATTAGCGAAGGTGGATTTACCTTATCTTCATATATATATATATATATATATATATATATATATATATTTGATGGCTTAAATTCTCAATACTAATTGTGTCTGTGAATTACCAATGTTCTAAATTGTACCAGCCAAGCTTGAACAACATTGAGCTTTGTTTGATTAGGCTTGTGAAGGATTCAGTAAGGCGTTTTGCGAGTCCTATGATTCCTTAACAAAATTATTGAAAAATAATAAAATACCAATAGGTTAAGCTTTTACAAGAAGAACTAAGAACAGTACACGCATCAAAAGGGGCATGCCCTTTTAACCCCCAAAACCATCAAGTAAACAAAAATTAAAATGGTGCGCAAACCCAACAAATGAACACAAGCAGAACAATTACAAGATGAAAGCTCCACAAGAATAGAACTGCTTCGACAACCACATTTTTCCAGTTACTCCACAAGAGTCTAGACCATATACTCTTATCTGATTTTTTATCATTTTTTACAAAAGCAGAGCTGGAAACAGCGCCAGAAGCAAATCAAATAGTAATACAAATCATCACAGATAGAATCTGAAAGGGGCTGCAATAGAGGCCAATGGATATAATTCTCAAAGTTCACAGGTACAAATGGTTGTCCTCAAATTACAGATCTTCCGAACCAAGCAACCAATAGAGGAACAATAGAATTGATATATATCAGGGTCTGCATACGTAGACAATCTTCATTAAATTGATAATCACAGGCTATGAAAACTCAACAGATAATTGGAAAAACTCCAACATAATAATGATAATAATAATAATACTAGCATTTTAAGGTTAGTAACTAAATAGGTTTCTAGAGCACATCAAAATTGTAAAATTTACTTTAAAAAATATCTGAGTGTTTGATTTTGGTGCAGAAATGAATGTTAAATTTACGTAATGAACTTAGTTTACTTAGCCTTGTGTTATGTCAAACCTATATTCGGAGCTTTAGATGAGGCCGGGTGAGTTTGGACCAAACTCAAGCTCGATCAAGTTCAGCTGACCAGAGCTTAGAACCCCAACTCTAGACCAGGCATCGCTTGTTTGCCCCCTTTTCACTTTGCAAATTATGTTTCTAAGGTCTGTTGGTGATTCATATTTTCAATGTATCCTTTGTTTCAGTGAAATTTTAGTAATGAATTCTATAAACCTCGGTATTCAACTATGCTTGTCTTCTATATGAGATAATAATGGGATCGTATTTTCAGTTATTGTACTTTGGATAACTCATTATTAATGACTGACATTTTCTAATACAGAGTTATATTACATCCATCCCACTTGACGTCTCCAGGATCTGGCCATTCTTTGCTGCCATTGTAAATAGGTTCGTTGGCAACTATCAATCATTGGCAACACAAGCCTCTCCTTCTGAAGAGAGAATAGCAGATGACATCTTGAATCAAATTCTTTCTGCTATAGAGAAGGATCCGCTCTCTAGTAGAGAAATTTGTACAACTTACATTGAGAAGCTGACCAGATCCAAAAATCTTTCAGCTGCTGCAAAGCTACTGCAGTCCTTGCGTGATAAACACATCTTCCTTAGCCATAATGCATATAATCTCCTTTTGGCAGCAGCAGGTAAAGAGAATGACGATGAACTTATTTCTCAAATTTTCAGAGATTTGTTGGTGTTATGCAATTCCATGAGTTCAGTCTCTTATTCTTGTCTTGCCAAGGCTTTTACAAACACAGTTGACCATGTTTTGCTACTTAGATTTGTCGAAGAAGTATCAGAATTAACCTTTCCAAGTAGTGCAACAGTTCTGAACAGGATTATCTTTGCATTTGCTGAATGTGGGCAGATTGATAAGGCCTTGTTGATATTTGATCATATGAAAAGTCTGAAATGCAAACCGGAGTTGGTCACATATAATACTGTTATAGAGATCTTGGGTTGTGTTGGTCGTGTAGATGAAATGCTCCATGAGTTTGGCTCAATGAAAGAGGCCAACATCAAGCCGGATATCATTTCTTTCAATACCTTAATAAACAGCATGCGAAAGGTTGGAAGATTCGATCTGTGCTCAGTATTTTTCAAAGAAATGAGAGAGAGGGGACTTGAACCAGATTTGCGAACGTACACTGCATTGATTGAGAGCTTTGGCCGATCAGGGAAAGTTGAGGAATCACTGAGACTCTTTGATGAGATGAAGCAGAGGCATATTCACCCATCAATTTATATTTACCGATCACTGATTGGTAACTTAAAGAAGATGGGGAAGTTGGAGTTAGCCATGACTTTGTCAGAGGAGATGAATAAGTGTCCTTCAGATCTTGTTGGCCCAAAGGATTTCAAAAGGAAAAACAGATAGTTTAGCACTTAAAAGTGGAGGTTTTGAATTCCAGGTGATTCTAAGATCTTGTGCATCAATTTGCTCGAGTAGGGATTGTTGTTGAAGTTCCCTTCATTCATTGCACTTGATGTTAGTACTTAATTTCTGCTGTCCACACTCCATCAGTCTGCTATTCAAAATCAAAATCTTCATCAGCATCTTCCAAATAACTGTTGGTAAAGTACCCGATTTCACCATCATATTTTCTTAAATGATTTGTAGTCTGGGAACTAAACCTAAATTAAAAAATAGAAAATAAAAATTTACCAAGGTACTTTTAAACTTTTCTTAGCACTACTAAATCAGATTCAGTGGTATCATGCTAATGATGGAATATTTGATTCCATCAGCATTTAATCTTACTTTTAAGACACTGGTAAACCGCAGAGACATGTTTTAACAAATGCAGAAGCAATCCAGAAGTTTGTTCACAGATTGTCAACATCCTCCTGTATTTGTTGAAGCTTCCAAAATGATTATCTGCAGGACAGCAGGAGCAGCGCACCATGCAAGAGGATCTTGGTATTAAAGATATTGGCTTTAAGTTTTATCTTACAGTAAATATATGAAGCTTTTCGTTGGTCGTTGTGGTTCTGGTATACCTTGCCCCTCTATTCAGCTTGGTGGTACTGGTAAATAGGTAAATGGCGGAGATTTGTGTTGCTTGCAGATGTTGATTTGTCATGCAAAACCAAGGTTGTATTCCATATTAGATGCTGTTCGAAATCTGCACGTGACTTGGATCATTAAATCATTCGAGTCTTTCGATGTGAATCTCGCACTGTAGCTGATGATTGGTATTTTTTGAGAGTTGTATTGGTGGGGGTAAAGGACTCGTGTATTTTGGTTGGTGAATTGGTGGGTAATCTCACACATGGTTCATACTCTTGATTAGGAAATTACAGAACCCTAAGGTCCCTTGTTCTTTTTCTTGTTTCTCATGTTGCATCGACAATCAACATGTTAGGTTGCTTTTCTAATATTGTATTGCAGTACACTATACACTTCGATTACAATCAATCATGAATGACTGAATACCAAATAATTATAGAAGTCCCACTTGGTAAGACCCGTCATATTAGTATCCGTGTCTCTTTGTTTGTTTAAATGTAATGCAAGTAATACAGATATCTTTGCCTGGTTGATATATCAAATCTGCTAAGGTGGTAATGTAATACTCCGTATTTGGTTTCACACTTCAGATAAACTAGGATTATAGTATACAACACACTCCATATATCATGAAGCTAACTGCAACTCTATGTAGACAGTAATTCTACATTCTTGGCCTTGCATCGCTTGGATGCCTAGTCTGCTTTAGTTTTCACAGAACTTAACAGATAACCGAAAAACATGAAAGTTTGAGGATTCACGGTGTTCATTTGGGGGACAATTTTCTTTCAAAATACTGTTATAAGGTTTCAATTCAAAAACAATCTTAGTATTTGTATGATGCAGAATTCTAATGCTTATACTAAAGATATACGCTTATAAAATGCACATAAAGAAAGGGCCATTATCTGGTATCACACGGAGTGATGAGAGCGAAAAATTGCACGTAAACAGTAAACAGCCACAAAAAAACTCATCATCATCATCATTATCCTTGTCTATATCCCATATGGGAAACAAGCACCACAAACCTATCTCTGAAAATTCCGAGATTAAATATTGAAGATATCAAGGTAAAGAGCCGTGAAAACATAATCTTAAATCGAGAACAAAAGTTGCTTTGCTTTGTCTATAGTGGAATTCATCAGAAGTGGAAGCAATTCTGGTGAAGTATGTAATGTCTCAGATTCGACTCGAGTCCCTTCCAAAAACGAATCGCCTTCCCCAGTCAGATATCACCAACATCCTTGTGCGCCAGCTGACAAGTTTGCTGAATGCCAAGAGAACAATACATTTGAGTGTAAAATATATTACAAAGTAGCATAGACATGGAAAAACACCAACCTGACAATAATAGAGGCAACAATAAATGCAGGTGTATATGAGAATATTACCTAGCATACACTGAATACCAGAGCCACTGAGTGCTATGACCAATTGAAATCCAATCCCCAGGAAGTTGTGCTGCAGTTTGTTCTCCACCCAATGGAGCAAATTGCCCGAAATGCTTGTACCTTGCATCATCAAACAATGACAAGTTCAGTCAAGATAGAACTTCTGGGAATCAGATTCTGGAGTTAATGGTTTAACCAACTTTGCAGTTGAGTTTACAAGGAAACAATTACTGAAAAATCAATTTAAATGGATCTGCTGGTATGACGAACGGAAAACAACATCTGACTAAAAGTTTAGAGACTTGTAAGGTCTTTTTCCATTATTCGGTGTTGGGAAATCGAGAAATCTAACCAAAGGCCGTAACCTAGTGGTATCTCGTCGTCTAACCAAATTGCATTTGTCTCAAGGCAGTTTCACCTCTGACAGCAGTTGAAGTTGCAAATCATTCTCATCACAATTTACAGAATGAAAAATAATCTTAGGGTTTTAAATATCGGTTTTTGAAGTGAAATGAAATATGTCCGTACCTAAATGGATGGAACCGATGGCGTCCTGCTCCCCTGAACCTTAATGGACCTTCAGGATTATTTTCACACTCTTCCATGCGATTAAAGCAGTTGGCAAGGTAAGAACCTTGTTGAGCTGCTACCTAAAATATCATATAGCCAGAGAAAGATTGCAGAACAATTCAGCAAAAGGGAATCAATATAAATCAGCAAAAGGGAATCAATACAAGTTTACCTGTGCTGTTGCAGGCAGATTTTTCATCTGGGAGTCCACTTCAGAAAGAGCTAATTTGAACCTTTCAATGTCTAGTTTTATGGACTCGTTTTGGGCATTTCCATTCGAATTCTTCAGTAAATCAACAATATTTTTTAACTGCTTCTTTTTCAAATAGAGCTCCACTTGGGGATACCTTTCACAGACATCATTAATCACATATTTGAAATCATTCACATTTAAGGTGCCAGATTGATTCTTGTCAGCCTTGCTAAATATCGCTGCAACGTCTTCCTGTTAAGACAGGAGAAAGTCAAGACTTGACACGTTAATGCAGCCAACCATACTTACCGAATAAAAAAATTGTAGAGAAATCTTGCAACCCTTTAAAACAAGCTATTCTGTGTTCAATGTTGTTCACTATGGAATGTCTTGTGCATTCTGAAAGTAGGACGAGTACAAGGACATTGGGCACTACTATCTTCAGTTTTCCAAAGAAAAAAACAAATGATTTAGAGTCCCTTCGTGAGATGCAGATAGCTGATTACTATGATCTGTCAAACTTCATCACTAAATATTACGTAGTAGTACTGAATTTAAAGGGGCCATTGTGCAACTGTGGTGAAATGGAAACATAGCATTCATGTAGCCCGAGTAATTGGGAAAAGGCTTGGTGGTGGTTGTTGCTGCATTGTGCGACTGTGGTTTAACTAGCCCAGGTAAGTTCTCCAAAACTTTATCACAACGGGAAAGAGTGGATAATAACCGTTTTAACACAAAATTATATGGCAATGTAAAAGTGTGTCAGCCCTCTTCTTATGATCTAGCTCTGTTTTTCAGAAAACAACAAAAAAAAAAAAATCAAATAAAGATCTGAAATATGTTTTTCTATGGAAGAGCTGCATCAAAATCAGACATGAAAATGCATCATTAATTAAATAAAAGAGGAATATGCTAAGCATATAATATTCAAGAAGAATACTGATTAGTGCCTACGAATAGAAATTCATGAAAAAACCAGACGATGCATACCATGATTTTTCGTTGATTTATTGTGGCACAATCACCTAGAGCATATATGCTATCGCATCCTTCCACCCTCAGCCATTCATCAGTAGCTAAAACGCGCCTATTAGTCTGTACTCAAAGAAATAGAAGTTTGTTTGTATTAATGAGGGTTCATAGAAGGTCAACATATGCCATGGTACGAAAGTGACAACTAGTTCAGCAAAATATGTTTGTATTAATGAGGGTTCATAGAAGGTCAACATATGCCATGGTAGGAAAGTGACAACTAGTTCAGCAAAATATGCATATATGGCAACAAAGAAAAAGCCAATTACATAACAGCATAGGTTCAGATCAACTAACCTGACCAATTTGATTCATAAAATCCATAATGATGGGGCGAGTCCCAATACCAGTTGACCAGACAACCATTCCATATGGTACAGATTGAGTTTCACCAGTTTTCATTAGTTTAGTCGAAATTTCATTATCAGTAACTTTTACAACCATTGACCCGGTTTTCAAATCAATACCATCTCTTTGGAATTTTTCTTCAGCAAAAGCAGTTATTCTTTTGTCAAACCTGCATAGACCAAGCACGTAACAACAAATTGGACGAAGAATAGAAAGGAGCAAGGACATCATCCAAACAATAGAGACTCCATAACAATCACTTGGGATAAATTCAAACTTTCAAACTATGGATAGTAGACCATTCAAACTACACAGAATGTCCTTTCACAATTATTGATTTAACTATCATTTAAGACTTTATACTCTGTAGGTTTACTTTAATTTGGCATTTGACTTGGGATTTGGTTAAGTTGAATGAATTTCTAAAAGTGATTAAAGTAAGCTTCAAACATCAGAACTAAGATGACTTCCTAAAATTCAGAGTTAAAATTAAAGGCAAAGGGAGAGCACTTACGGTACAAATACGCATTTATCACACTTCTGTTTCCATAATAGAGTGCTACGTATTGTCCAAACCAAGTTTAAAATAAGCCCAGTTCACAGGGACTTGAGTTATTCTAGTAAAATGTATGCAGAGAGAGAAGGAAAATTGTGAATTTTTTTGGAGCAAACAAAGCATAGCATAGCGTCAAGGAAGTGTGATATGTCTACAGTAGGCTAAAGATTTTATAACATAGAATGGCATTAAGGTATCAACTACTGAGTATCATTGAACAAACATTAAGTAACAATTACAAACGCTAGCATTAAAGAAACGGAGAGTGTATGATTGTTGGAGCATTGTAAAGTTACTGAAACCTCTTAAAGTGACAAAATTGTTCATGAACATGTTGATGTGCACACGACCCAACATGACAATCAGAACTGCGACCAGTAGATAAGTAATGTCTAGCTTGTTTAAACATAAATCCAGTTTCATACATGGTTAGAACAACTTGATAAACCATACATCATATCAAGTTTGAGAAGAAAAGAGGGATGAAATATAATTTAGAAAGAGACAGGCTATATTCTAGTAAAAGCAATCTCCCTTACATGTTCAATATGTGATCGCCTGCCTCAAGAAGTGTTATTTTCACATGGTCCTTGACAGTAGGATATAAGTGAGATATATCTTCAACAACAAAGTCATGAAGCTCTGCTGCGAATTCTACACCTGTTGGACCACCACCGACAACTACAAAATGCAGAAGTCTTTTCCTCTCTTCTTCACTCACACTTGGAAGGCTCGCCCTTTCGAAACAGTCAATTACTGTCCTCCGTATCCTCTGAGCATCTTCTACTTCCTGAATAAAGAATCACTTCTCCTTTAGTGGTATTGGCAGACAGCAAACATAGTGAACTGCCTAGTATAAACTATTACAGAATACAGATATAAAAAATTAATAAAATTTCTAAAGATTTCCTTGTTCGCTTGTACCCCGAGAAACTATTCAAAAGCAATTATATTAATATGAAATGATGGAGGGATACAAACATGGAAGCTGAGTCAAGTTACCTTCAAAAAATGGCAATTCTCAACGACACCAGGAGTATTGAATGTATTCGAACGGGCTCCCATGGCTACCACCAGGTAATCATATTCTATGGAGAATTCTTCTTTCCCACCCAAATTGGTATCTTGAGTCGATTGACAATAGACCCTTTTGTTTACCGCATCAATTTTGAGACATTCAGCTTCTCTGAATTGAACATCAAAATCTTTCTGCCATGAGAGAAAGGAATGTCTGAGTCAATAGTATCATCAGATGGTCATGTTATATTATACAGAATAGGTAGATAAAATATTTTAAGGTACTTGTAAATCATATAAAACTAGTTGCAACTTACATTTTCCAAGACTTCGCTGCAATACAAACATGTAGCAACAGATGAAGTGGCACTATTTCTACATGTTGAATTCATGTCATCTCTTTCTTTTTCAGTTTGCAGTTTATTGTCAAGTGAAATGTAGAATGACCAATTCCATCCTTCAACCTATGGAATTTTCTAAATAGACCGTGTTTTGGACACACCATGCAGCAAACTAATCTTAAAATAATGAATAATAAAACCAGTTATATTCATCACAATGAATTGGAGTACAAGGCTTTTACGAGTAAATGTAGGCCAAAAAGAATTCCATGAGATACCATGCAAGTGTTAGTCTGTTTAGTGTATCCACTTAGAGTGTAATTTGCTATTTGATATTTAATTTTCACAATCGCGTTTTGACAAAAGTTCATTACCTCAATAGATCCTTCTAACTTTGAGGCACACAGGTAATATGCCAGGCAGTATGTACAAATATCCAACAGATATTTAAAAATATAAAATAAAAAACAGTTTATTTAATATATTACTGTATCTCATACTGTCATCATCTTGCAAGTTTCCAAGTTTAAACATTATTTTCACTAAAACGATTCCACCACATTATTTTAACTGTTTCCTTCTTAAGATTACTAGACATGAAAATGTTCTCTCAGCTTTCTCATCCAAGAAATTCAGAATTGAGCCCAAAATAACGTTAACATACTGTCTAATACAAAACAGATAGCTTGATATCACTTTTGTAATATTATGCAACTGTGGCAAAAATGTAGGGGTAGTAAGCACAAATGGTTTAGGATACAGTACGTAGTATATGAGTACCTTCTTGACAATATTGCGAATTGGTTCAACGATGCTGCGTGCTTCTACTGTGCCATTTGTAACACTTGGTAACAAAGGAGTAAACGCAAAATAATTACGAGGTGACACCACCTGAACATCATACGAGGGATTCTTCAAACTTTTCAGAAAACTTGTGCCAGCCCAACCAGTTCCAAGTACTACCACCCTCTTCTTCTTGAAATCACCTTGGAATGCACCAGCAGAGACACTGTGGGAAGGCTTGGCATCAGAAAAGGCCACTAGACCTCCACTACTGCAAAATCAAAGCCAAAAATTATAACTTCCAGAGATGAAAAAGAAATAAAATAATTACTAAAACAGAGGAATGCAACATAAGGAGGGAAAAAATTAATCATAAATCTAAACATAACGTCACAACAGGAGGAGAAGATATTCCAGTTAATAAACCAGAAACAAGCATCAAAGTACAGTCCTTGATAAAAGATAGGACATGGCAAATATAAATGGCACCCATCAACATGTCTGCTGTAATAAAATGTTTGAAACTTCACATAAATTACATGGACAATGTCAACTTGGTTCATCAAATACACTGAGATGCATGCATTGGTTAAAAAATTTAATACCACATTCGTCTCTACCTTGTCATGGTCACTGATCTTTCAATAGACCAATTCTCTTCACAGTCAAATTGCTCCATATTGAACAGCATTCATGAGTAAGGATTCGATTGAAATACTGAAGAAGTTGTTTAAAAAAACGTAAATGTCCAGATTTTTTCCATTTTAACATTTACATAAAGAGTCTCTGTATACATCACAAAATCGGCCAAATTTGCCTCATCTAAGATTATTTATATCCAAAGCCAAATTTCTTTGAACCTATAGGGATCTAGGAAGACCAGGAGAAAACTAAAAATGGATAAACAGGGTGGAGGAGTCCCTTAAAAAAAAGGGAGTTTTTTTTCCCAGTAAATAGAAAGAAAAAATAAAATTTGCATTACCTACTTTTAGCATTTCCTATATAAGAACCCTTGAAATAATATTTTATGGGATTTAATTGGGTCAAATTTCGATTTCATCATAAAAAAAAGTCAAAACATCATATAGGAGACGCCACCATAATCACCCAGATTGATAGAAAGGAGACCACCGTGTCATCCCAAAAAAGCATTTTCGTAAAATAACCAAGTAGATACCATAAGTAAGAACATGTCCCTGGTCTAATTAACACATGAAAGTTAATAAACTTAATTAGTACCCAAACATCCACCAACTCTAAATCAAAAGAATAATTAGGTTACTCATCCATGTTATGGGCGATTTTCTTCTTTCATTACTAAAATTTCTTTGCTGAGTGTGAAATTGGGGTAGACTTGTACCCTCATGGTTATTAAACAACTTCAAGCCATATAACACATCCTAGTCCAGGATCAATAGTCTATACTGCACTTAAATCATAGGTATAACAAAGTAGCCAGACGCAACAAATATATGAACTAGTTGGAGAGGCATAATATATTAATACATTAAAGACATAATTATAGTGTCTACTTTAAAAGGGCACAGTTAAGTAAACAGAATGTTTAACATTGAATTTGGATGTTTTCTATTCTTAAATAACTAAAAGATTACTGAACATTGCTCTGTACCATGAAATCACATTCTTATAGATGTCTCTGGGATATCACTGGTTGAAAGAGTAAAAATTCCAACCAAATTACTAATACACAATCCCGTTACAAAGGAAGTATGAACAGAAGTACCTATTAGATCAATATATTGTGAATGCAAATAAAAGAGATTTAAAAAAATGTCTGTGGATTCAGTTTCATCAACTGACAAAAAACAAATTCAAAAAACAAATTCACCTGAAAAAAAAAAAAAAAAATAAAAAAAAAAAAAAAAAAAAAAAAAAAAAAAAAAGAAGAAGATGATCGTACAAAAAATTCAGAATCATCAATAGTAACAATGTGCGGGGTTGGGCAAAGGATTCTTCTAATTTTACCCATTACAGTTACAATAAGTTCTGCCACATTGTCAAGTGTAATTTAGGCAGAACTTACTAAACTATAGCAATCCCAATTAAATCATACGAATATAAACTTATCAAAAAAAAAAAAAAAAATCATACCATTAATAAACAGTAAAGTACAAGAAGATTGAACAGTTACGTATAAAAAAATTAATAAACATTAAAAAAATAAAATTCAATCCAAATCTAAGTTTATAAATCTGTGACAAATAAGTTATTTTTTACATACGGTTTCCATTCATAAAAAGCTCCAAAAGACAAATTTAAGAAAAATGAACACACAAAATATGAAGGGATGGTAGTATCTATTAGACAAGACAAAATTAAAAATATAAAAACAAATAACAAAAGACAAATAACAAATAACAAATAACAAAAAAACAAAAACAAATAACATGTAGAAAATAATGTAAATGAAATTTAGGACCTGATTGTGAAGAGAACAAGAAGTTTAGAGATTGAAGGATGGTCATGGAAAGCCCGAGAGGCTCTGTGGAAGAAGGTGTACCCGTGCATTGTGTAAACCCTAATTTTCTCTCTCTCTGACAGAGAGAGAAACAAGGAAAGTCTGAAATGGCAATAACAGATTTCTTCTCCTTTTTTCCCTGTGTGTAACTCTCACGTAATAAGCACTCCCTTTTATGATTTTCATTGGATTGTTAAGCATGGAAATCAGGACACGTGTCGTCTTTTGATATGATGATCTCCTTCTTCTTAGGAATGTTTTAAACAGCGGTATGATTTTACAGTACAGCGCTCGGATTGGTCGCTGGCCGTTGATTGTTTCTCTTACAACTGAAAGTCTAATAATCTAACGGTTTTGATGCAAATGCAAGTGCTCTGTGGGACCCACCGTGGGTGCCATACCACTACTGTCACTTAATTCATGTCACGGTGACCTTTTTTGTAGGTCCCATTAGTGTGATTTACGGAGATCCGACTCTGATAAAGGAGGCTGTGACCATTGAACCGAAAGTTGCTGGTGAGGCTAGACTGGCTCGCAGCGTAGTACCATGATGGAAGGTGTGATATTCCTAATTTATTATACGGTGTTGGCTTTTGAATAATCCTCTATTTTTTTTATCATTGCGTAAAGCCCAAGTTTGGGCTCTCACAGTGCGCTGGGTGCAGTCCATGGGCTAAAAAGTGGGTCACGTGAACGAATCAGGATTCTTTCTGGTATACACTGTTAGGACGTTTCGTCCTTTCCTCTCTTCCAAATTTGTTAGCAACCCATCTGAACTTACAAATACGGTCCACTTTACTTTCTTCTCTCCCAAAATAAGCATGCTTTTATTTGTTTTCAAAACAAATCAGAACTCTATTTCTTCATTCTTTTATTTTCATAAATTTCTGGTCATTTTATTTCAATTAACAAAGCAAGCACAGAGCCAGCAAGTATTATTTTCAAATTTTATATTTTATTTCCAAACAAAGTGTATACTTTTTCTTTTTGAAGAAATCAATGGCAGAAAAAGAAAAAAATAATTACTAAGGAAGGGAGATAAGTGGGCGATTCCCATAAAAAGGAAATTAATCCTTTATTTATTTGTTTGGTTCTTGTATAAATAGTTTGAGCCTAAAATAGATACAAAGATTTGCAGGGTAATTTCAAATATGTTTTGGAGTGTCATGGTTTTTTTGTTTAATTATTTGTGTACTTTTAAGTTTTTTTATTATGCAAATACTTTTGCACATAGCATCCCAATTAAGCACTTTGTAATTTAAGTCGACGTAGGTTGTATACAACATCCCAACATAATCCTACTTTATGATAATCATTGATTCTAATCAAAGAAACACTAGTTCAAATTATAATCTACTTAACATCTTAACAAATCCCAACTAATACATAGATCCCAAGTACTACGTACAAAATCCTACTTAACAAAATTCCAAATAATACGTACTTTGTTTCGTGTTTATGTTATAAGATGGAGAGAGGAACACCAACACAGGAATTATGAATCAATGAACCAATAATTTTCAGACACTGAAAATTGACTGTTATCACAGTAATTAAAGTTGAACCACATAAACAACATGAATTTGGAATGAGCTAACAATTATTCAGACGAACGGAACAAATTTGACGATAATCAAATGAATTTAACTGGAATTCCCAAAATATAATACTAGAGACCAAGTAGAGAGATGAAGACAAAACAAACACAAAGCAAACTTCTTCAATGGTTCGACATAGAACACATAATTGAGAATTAAATTATATTAAATCGGACCCACCTTGTCTATTAAAATAACTTATACCATATTTTAAAAATAATGTTTAAAGTTTTTATATATATGAAATATAATTTAAAGGTGCGGTAAAAATTTAGTTAATTATTATTATTATTATATTTTATTTTATTTTATTATTATTATTTTTTTTTTTTTTGACGAAACATTTTCATAGCCACTTAATTGACAAGAGATGGAACCCGTCACTGAATAGATTTTGCACCATGTGAACAACATTCTTCTCCACATTCATTTCTACTATTTAATTGTTTAAAAAAAAAAATCATTTAAAGGTAAGTGGTGTCAAATCCGATGTCATGTCAGGCATCTCCCAAATGAGCTCATTTGGGAGGTGTTCGAGTCTACAACCAGTACAGAAGAGTATTGAAAGCTAGAGTGGAGAAGATTATTAGAGGAATTCAATATTGGATTAGATTGAAGGGCCGTTACAATAGTTGAGATCTACATGAATTAAGTAAGCATATGTTTATTGTATATCATATTTTTGTCATAAAATACTTCATATACCAACAAAAAATCAGACTATAATATTAAATTAAAAAATTAATTTTAAACTAAGATATTTTAAATTATATTTTGAGGGTGAGACGGCCCAAGTTTTTCAACCCGGTGCGTCAGTGATGAACTGAAAGATGACCCGAAAATGGATCCAAAATGCGGAAGCAAAAGACAAAACAACGGTCTTAAGAGATACCACGCATCTCTAAGACACCAATGTGACACTCAATGAGGTCACGGAACCCAAAGGAAACAAATGCAGAAACAACATTTCAATAACGGACAAGAATGCACCTAGGGGCAAAATCGTCATTTCCAGTTCAAAAGTGGGTGTCACCGAGCACACCATTGGAAAGACAACAAAAAATCAATGAACTTAGACTCAAAATCACTTGATTCGAAGTCCGGATGAAGAAGATATGGCTAACGGAAGAAGAAAGGGCAAAACAGTCAAAAAGGTGACAACCAAGAACATCTAACCGGTTACCAAGCCTTCCTAACTGGTTAGGAGACCAAAAATTTTGACCAAAACACTGCCCATGCACATGTAACCGGTTACGAAGCCCCTTCTAACCGTTTACATGTGAAGGAGGCAGAATGGACAGCCCAAAAACCTGGCAGCAGGGGTTTTTTCGAAAAAAATAGAAAATTGAGGACTTAGATGACATTTTCTGGAAAAACACAAAGAAGAAACCCCCCTCAAAATCGAGTTTTTTTACGTCACTAATGAGAAAAATTGAAAAATACGCACTATGAAATGCCTAAAATACCCTCCCAAGAAAACTGGTCCAGATGGTCCAAAAAGCTGCTAAATGGGAAAACAGAAGCTGAACTTCAGGATCGATTTCCGATGCCAAGACGACATTTTCTGGAAAAATACGAAGAAGAAACCCCCCCTAAAATCACATTTTCTAAGTGACCATGTGAAGAACAGAATTTATTTCCCAAAGAAAATTTCCAAAATATCCTTAGGTCAGAATATGCAACAAAAGTAAAAAATGAATCCGTAGGAGGCTCATTTCACCAAAGAAGAAGCTTTGCCCGGAAACGACCATGCATGCAAACGTAAATTACCTAGTAAGATGTGCTACAATGGTCCATGGCCCAAAAATATGGCCAATACAAAATATGACCCCCCAATAGCCAAAATGCCAAAAACGAAGTTTGGAACGAAAACTTAGAATTTAAAATCATGAGATGGTTTCAAAATGCCATTTGGCCCTTGGCCACACTTCATACATGGTGAATGAATGTTAATGGAAGAATCAAAATGGAATTCCCACACCCAATGCAAACATGGTGAAGCAAAAACTCAATATTTTTTAATACTTTCATAATATTCCATGAGGCCAAAAATTACATAGGATACAAATTACATGTCATTGGTCTCTGGCCTCATCTCATACATGTCAAATACATCGTAAAGAGTGTACTCATGTACACATTACATATAAGGAATCAAATGTACACATGTTGACATATAAGACTACAATTGGCATTCCAAGCCAACCTTCACAAAAATGAAAGTCTCCAAGTCCACAAACCATCTAAGCATAATAAAGGCCTCAACTTTGATTCTTGTACCTGAAATATGCCCCAGTATCGTAGGGGTGAGTAACATAAAGCTACTCATAGGAAATGAGCATGCATCAACTTATGTTTTACAAGTTTGCATGATTTAATTATTGTGGTTCATTCCACCTAACGTCTATGTCAAAGGTAAGACTCATGGAGCATCCTAGCTACCTAAGATCATTTCTATCATCAATCACCTCATTCATGCAATTTTAGCAACATAGGATCATGCTTACACAAAGTAACAACATAGGAGCATGCTTACACAAAGCAACAATATAAGAGCATGCTTACACAAAGTAACAACATATAGATTCTCAAGGTTATCAACTTGAAGTCCAAAATGCAACATCAACTAAATATAACAATTTACCATAATAAGAATATCTAATACCACACATCAAGACATAGATTCTCTAGGTTATCAACTAGAAATCTAAAAGTGTGAATCAACTAAATATATCAATTTAGTATGGATGTACTTAACAACATCAAAATCGCCAATAGCCAAAACCACAAGTCAACAAGGTAAACATGATTGTCAACTTGGAATTGAATGCGAAAACAAATAGTGGAAGACTTAGACATCACGCTTGGAATTCTGCCGAGACCTCAATGGTTATTCCGGGCACTAACCCATAGGGAAGACCACCTTAAGTGCGCACTATCTCAATGACTTAGAGGACTCACATCCCCATACTAGTGCCAAACCCTAGCCATCTCAACTCAACAATATTCCAAGATTCCAAAATAAGCCAAATAAGTTCATAACTTATACATATTACTACTATATAGTAACAAGTTACCAATATAACTCTCAATTGTGCATAATAAGCATTTCATATCCATAATGCTACGAAATCACAAGCCAACAATATATTCATATAGAAACATACTCTTATGAATATAAATTTAACAACAATGCCCTTCAATGCATATAACACAATCAAGTGAATACTTCACAAGTCTAAATCCATGATCTTAAAATAGAAGCACCTTCTAAAACATGATTAAATCCATGGATAAATAAGATAGAATCTAATTACATCAAAATAATTAAACTCTCTAGATTTCAAATCATTTTCAAATGGCCTCAATTTAATATATGCTAATAGATATATCATGGTCATTACATATATTCACACAAAAGTTTAATTAGGCCCATGAAACCACAAAATTATATTTTAATTAATTCTCTTAATTAAAGTCTCTAAATTTTCAAACTCAACCAAATACTCTCAAATTAAAGTATGTTAACAAACATGCCAAAA